ATAGAGTAGCTGGGGCTGAGGTCTGGGGACCATGGTTTCTGAGGACATCTAGGTCAACTGGCATAACAAAGTTTATTAAGAAAATGTTCTGCACCCCACTTTGGTGAGTGGCATGTGGGGTCTTAAAAGCATGTGAGTGGCCATCTAAGATGCATCAATTGGTCCCAACCCATTTGAAGCAAAGGAGAATGAAGAACACCAAAGACACAAGGAAAATATTAGCCCAAGAGACAAAAGGTCCACATAAATCAGAGACTCTGTCAGCCTGAGACCAGAAGAACTAGATGGTGCCCAGCTACCATCAATGACCACCCTGACAGTGAACACAACAGAGAGTTCCTGACAGAGCGGTAGAAAAGTGTGGAGAAGAACTCAAATTCACATAAAAGTACCAGACTTAATGGTCTGCCTGAGACTGGAAGAACCCCTGAAGCCATGGCCTGCAGACCTCCATTAACTGAGAATTAAAACCATTCTTGAAGCCTACTCTTCAGACAAAGATTAGACTGGATTATAAAACATAAAATAATACTCGTGAAGAGTGTGCTTCTTAGTTCAAGCAGATTCACAAGAACAAATGGGTGACTCCTATCCAGAGGCAGGAAGGGAAGGCAGGAAGGGACAGGAACTGGTTGAATGGACACAAGAATCCTGGGGTGGAAAAGGGGAGTGTTCTGTCACATTTACATGGATTGCAACTAATGTCATATAACAACATGTGTATAAATTTTTGTATGAGAAATTAACTTCAGGTATAAACTTTCACCTAAAGCACAATAAAATTTAAAAAAAGACGAGGCTAGAGGCATCATCAGGACTTGGATGAAAAACAGCCTCAAAGTCCAGTTCTGCTGTTTGGAGAGGGACCCCTGGGTTCACAAATAAGTTGTCTCTGGTCACCAGGGTGAGGTTAGGAGAAGGTAGGGAACCCCAGCCTGGCCCCTACTCTGAACAGTCCCAGGGAGGAGAGTTGCTTCCCACCTATGCTGTTTCCTTGGGAGACAGTTATGCTTATGTTCAGTGGCGAGTCTAGGACAGAAAGTCATGACCAATCTCCACTGGAGGAGGATGGGTGGGGATTGGTCCTTGATCCCCAGGAGCTGCAGAAATGGGAAAGACATGAATGCAGACATCTCCATGGTCACCTCTCAGTCCAGATTGCACGACCTGGCACACAGTTTCTAAGTTCCTGATCCCTCTCATCCCTGCTGCCTTCAGGAAGCCTTCATCAGAGACCCAGGTGTCTTCATCCAGCACTCACAGGACAGATTGAGCTGGACGGTCCTCTCTATGGTCACACCTGTTCCAGGGAATGTCACCTGGCAGGTGAGGTTGGTGCCGTGGTCCTCGAGCCATAGGGTAAGGGTGAGCACTGAGGAGTGGGGGCCCGTGTGATACCTGGGGGAGATGCAGATTCCTGTCCATGAAAAGATGGGGGCGTTCTCCGCTCACAAGCCCATGGCACAGTGCAGGTTAGGATCTTGGGGGAGCCAGACTCCAGGGTCCCCAGGATCTGGATGTTGGGAGTCAGGTTTAGGGCTAGTGGGAGAAGGGGAGACACAGGATCAAGAGTATCTCAACAGCAACTGGTTTGTTTTTTTGGTTCTGGGGCGTTGGGGAGGAAGTGGAATTTAGGGTGAAGCCTCCTCAGACTGTAAATTTTGGTGTGGGGGAATTATAAGAGACTAACTGAAAAGTGTCTCCAAAACAACAACTCAAAGATTCACTACAAAGTGAACACCTTCCAAGAAATGGAACATTGCAAGAACAAGACCCAGCCATGTGCCCCTACGTTCCCTCTCCTGAAGGAACTCCTAGCTCAAATTAATGGCAACTGAAAACCCCTTCCCAAGAGTAACACAGTACACAATACTGGGGAAGCCAGCACAACTTGTACAAGGCAAGGTCATAGAAGCTACATAGACATATCCAAACTCCCTGAGGGACCGAATTACTGGGTTGAGGGCTGGGGATCATGGTCTCAGGGAACATCTAGCTCAATTGGCATAACATAGTTTATAAAGAAAATGTTCTACATTTTACTTTGGTGAGTAGCATCTGGGGTCTTAAAAGCTTGTGAGCGGCCATCTAAGACACTCCACTGGTCTCACCCTGTCTGAGCACAGGAGAATGAAGAAAACCAAAGATATAAGGGAAAGATTATTAGTCCAAATGACTAATGGACCACAAGTACTACAGCCTCCACCAGACTGAGTCCAGCACAATTAGTTGGTACCCAGCTACCATCACTGAGTGCTCTGACAAGAATCACAAAAGAGGATCCTGGACAGAGCTGGAGAAAAATCAAGAACAAAATTCTAACTCACAAAAAAAAAAAAGAAGAAGACCAGACTTACTGTTCTGACAGAGAGTAGAGAAACCCTGAGAGTATGGCCCCCAGACACCCTTTTAAGTCAGTAATGAAGTCACTGCTGAGGTTCACTCTTCAGCCAAAGATTAGATGGCCTATAAAACAAGATGAGACCAGACATGCACACCGACCCAGGGGCAAAAATGAGAAGGCAGGAGGGTACAGGAAAGCTGGTAATGGAGAACCCAAAGTCAAGAGGGGAAAAGTGTTGACATCATAGGGTTGGCGACCAATGTCACAAAACAATGTGTGTACTAATTGTTTAATGAGAAGCTGGTTTGTTGTGTAAATATTAATCTAAAGTTAATCTAAATATTAATCTAAAAAAATATATATCATATTTAAAAAAAATACCCTTCCCTTCGATTCCAACTCACGGTGACCCTATAGGACAGGGTAGAACTGCCCACATACGGTTTCCCAGACTGTAAATCATTTTTTTAAAGTGTATTGGCAAAGGTAATTTTGTGTGTGTGTGTTTTAGGTGAAATTACAGTGCAAATTAGTTTCTCATTCAAAATTTATACACAAATTGTTTTCTGACATTGGTTGCAATGCCTGCAATGTGTCAGCACTCTCCCCCTTTCCCTTTACACCATGGGTTCCCTGTGCCCATTCGTCCAGGTTTCCTGTGCCTTCCTGTCTTCTCGTCTTTGCTTTTGGGCCGGTGTTGCCCATTGGGTCTTGTATACTTGATTGAACTAAGAAGCATATTCCTCACGTGTGTTATTGTTTGTTTTTGTTGTTTTTCTTCTAGGTGACAAAGATAATTTTTAACACATACACAGTTAACATTAGATGCTGAAACAATTTGGAGACGTGTATAATTGTTTTTAGGTGCTCTCGAGTGGGTTCCAAATTATAGCGACCTTATGTAAAACAACATGAAACATAAGGTCTTGTGCCATCCTCACAATGGTTGCTATGTTTGAGCCTATTGTTGCAACCGCTGGGTCAATCCATCTCATTGAGGGTCATCCTCTTTTTTGATGACCATCTGCTTTACAAAGCATGATATCCTTCTCCATGGATTGGTCCCTCCTGAGAGTATGTCCAGAGTAAGTGAGACGAAGTTTTGCCATCCTTGCTTTAAGGAGCATTCTGGCTATACCTCTTCCAAAACAGATTTGTATAATTAGGAAGATCCTATCTTTCTTTGTGATCAGAGTTCAAGGTTCAAGGCATAATTTTAGGTAATGGACATTCCTCTAACTTCTGCCCATATCCATTGTACCCACCAGACACAAGAATTCTTTGTTAGTCTCCACCTTGGATTCCAGTAAATCTTTAAGCGAGCAAACTGCCACATCTTTCTCCTGCGAGGGTCTGGTGGGTTCGAACTGCCCGTCTTCCAGGTAGCAGCCGAGTGCTTAACCACTGTGCCACCAGGGTTCCTTAGGCACAGAAGCAAGGAAGCACAAGTGCAGAAAGACTGATGCCAAGTGGAGATCACCAAGGAACCGAGGAAGAAAAGCTGAAAGGGACAAGGATTTTCTTCCAGAGAGGACAGAGAAAGACTTCCCCTAGCATGTGCCCTGATTTCAGACTTCTAGCCTCCTACACTGTGAGAAAATAAATCCCTTTTCATTGAAGCCACCCACTCACGGTATTTCTGTTATAGCAGCACTAGGTGACTAACGCACTCAACCCCCACAAGGGCCCCCATTCTCTCTCACAGCAGGGGCAGTTGCAGCATGTCTGTGATCAGAAGGGCTGGCCTGTGGCCATTCTGCTTCCCAAGACCTCCAGTTTGCAAAAAAAAAAAAGCAGAATAATGGGTAAGAGAAGCACAGGGAAGATACAGATAATCTAACGGGTAAATGACCACAAGAGAGGAACTTAAGACCATAGAACATTAGAGTTGGAGTTATTCTAGTCTCACTTCTCCCATTTGCAGAAGTAGATACTGAGGTCCACAGTGGACAAATGACTTCCCCAAATCACACGGTGCCCTGTATCATGCACCACTCTCTGCACATCATTGAACTTTTGTCTCCCCAGGATTCAGTGGGGGGAGAGAAGATTTTTATGTTAATTTGAGCGGGAAGAATTGTCAGTTCTCCCCATGAGATGACAGAGGAAAATTAATTCACAGTATCTATGCTATGCCTTGAGCTGGAAGTAAAGGGTCAATATGACAATTCTAGTCTTTGTCTTTGAGTAGAACAGCATCTGGTTGAGAGACACACAAGCCACTGGACAATTGTGACGCCATAGGGGAGGAAACTGTGATGAGGGAAGCACAGGCTGGGACTTGGTGGGGCTCTTGGTCTTCTGGACTGAGAGATGAGTTCACACAGAGGGATGGGCAGAGTGGACATAGTCAGGACTCTCAGGCAATCATGACAGATGCAGTTTCTATAGATGACCCTGGGGTCCTGGGAATTCCTGGACCCTCAGGAATTGTGTCTCTAATCCCACTCACTCTCCCACTGTCCTGGGAATCCTCAGCCAGCCAAGTCCTCTGGTTCTCTATGTGACCAATCCCACCTCTGCCCCAGCAGTGGTCAGGGCAGAGACCAGAGGGGGCACTCTCTCTGCTTAGGACATAGTCTGTTGTTAGCTGCCATGGAGTTAGCCCCCAACTCATAGTGACCCCATGCACAGTGGAACAAAATACTACCCAGTCCTGTCCCATACTCATGATTGGTTGCAGATTGGACCATTGTGATCCACAATATAGTATATTGCCAGACCTTTCTCCCTAGTCCGTTTTAGTCTGGAAATTCCGCTGAGACAAGTTAATCATCATAGCAACATGCAAGCCTTCACTGACAGATGCTGGGGGGTGGTTGCACATGAAGTACATTGACCAGGAATCCAATGCAGGACAGAATCTGCCTCCTGGGAATACCTGACCTTGCTCCTGGTAGTGTCCATGGTATTGATGAAGAGTTGAGGGTTGACTGACTTTGGTAATGTCTGCAAGTCAGCTAAGGGGCCTGATAGCACAGAAAAAGGGACTCTAGTCCTAGGCCGGGGGCACTGGTGATTCAGTGGTAGAATTCTTGCCTTCTATGTGTGATACCTGGGTTCAATTCCTGGCCAATGCACCTCATGCTCAGCCACCAACCATCTGTTAGTGGAGCCTTGTGAGTTTTTATGATGTTAATCTGGTTTCAGCAGAGCCTCCAGACTAAGAAGGACTAGGAAGAAAGGCCTGACAATCTGTTTCCAAAAATCAGCCAGTAAAAACCCTGTGGATCACGAGGGTCTGATCTGCAATCAATCATGGGGATGGCACATGCCCAGGTAGCATTTCATTCTGTTGTGCATGGGGTTTTCATGATTTGGGGCCTGACTCAACCGCTGCAAACAACAACGGCCCTGGGTCAGGAGGAGGAACATGTCAGATAAGCTGGGCACAACTCAGGCTTATCTGGAAGGAGGGAATCTGGGGAGAGACAGACCTGGATACTGGTCCGGGCTTCTCTCTCTGTTCCTCTTTCTTGTCCTTCCATCCACCCTCAGGAGTGTCCTGTGGATGACATCAGGCTGTTGTCACCAGGTTCAGGGGCAGAGAAGGTGAAGGTTATGTGGTTCCCTTAAAATAAAACCCAAAACCCATTGCCATCGAGTTGATTCTGACTCCAAGCGACCCTACAGCACAGAGTAGAACTGCCCCATAGGGTTTCCAAGGAGGGGCTGGTGCGTTTGAACTGCCAGCCTTTTGGTTAACAGCCAAGCTCTTAACTATTATACCAAGGCCCCATTTCATCCTCCCAACATCCCTGACAGAGAGGGGTCATTCTCCCTATCTGATTGAGGAGACAGCTGACAATCACACAGGTGAGTGGTTATGGTAATGTCTTAGCTATCTAGTGCTGCTATAACAGAAATACCATAAACTGGTAACTTTAACAAACAGGAATTTATTTTCTCATTGTTTCAGATGATGGAACTACAAATTCAAGATGCTGGCTCTAGGGGAATTCTTTCTCTCTCTGTTGGCTCTGGGGGAAGGTCCTTGTCTCCATTCAGCTTCTGTTTCTTTGTTCCTTGGAGATGTCATGTGGCGTGGCATTTATCTTCCCCCAACTGCTTTTTTGCTACTTGCTTAAATTGCTCTTTGTCTTAGACTGGGTTCTCTAGAGAGGCAAAACCAGTGAAGTATATATATAGAGAGCTCTGTTGGCACATAGCTTGGCTGCCAATCAGAAGGTCGGCA